AAGTGCTGGAGTGGCGAACGAGGTGAAGTCTTGAGTTCGGATAGGGGAGTGTCCCGAACTGCCATGAGGCGGGCCAGTTCTGGTTACTGCCTTGTGTGGCTCGGGGCCTAAGGGAGAGTTCGGGCTCCTCGTAGGGAGTTCAGGTTCCTAGAAGGGAGTTCGGACTGCTGGTTTCTTCCCTTTGGTGCTTACGCCCTAGGTGCGCTGTTGTGCCGAGCTGTTTGCCTTTGCCACGTGTTAAATAATTACGAGGTCGGGCCAAATCTTCCTTCATCAATCTCCAATAATTAGATGGGAGTTGTTTGAACTGAAATTGAGTTAATTACGATGTTCTTAAATATTTTATTCTCTAAAAAACTAAATAATAAGTTATTGAGTTCAGCCACTTTTGAAACACAGCATTTCATTATTTTTAGTTTAATTCATTAAATGGGCCTGATATACTTTTTGAACTCTAAATCCAATTTTATTTGCAACCCCTCTCTATTTTAGTATTTTTACGTAAAAGATGTCGATATCTTGCTTTGTTACTACATCCAACGGCCAATACCAAAATTGACCTACCAACAGGCTTAGTGACACCAATGCCCCTAACGGAAATTGTGAAGGACATATTTGATCTTGGGCTACTTACTTCCTACGAAATGGGTAATATTGGAAAATGATTTTTTGTTAAGACTTGGACGTCAGGGAGGTGACACCGGGAGCCCACGTCGACGCGCGCAACAAGAGGAAGTAGTCGAGAACCAGCAACGTGGCGAGAGGCGACGTCACCAAGGCGTCAAAATCCACTAACGCGTGGCCGTAGAAATTGCGGTAATTGAAGAAGCCAGCTACGTACCCCACTGTTGTCTTGTGGGGTCGAGAAAGGACAAAGGATAATCAGTGATAAAAGTCAAAGCGATGGATGGTAGTGATCAATGGATTATGTGAGATGGTGATGCTTGTGTCGCATGTGGTTTCAAGTCGGCAGTCAGACGCTCCATTTTCTACCACCAAGAGGCAAGAGATTCTTCCTCACTCCAACGGCTCTTTTTCAAGGAAACCAGAGGCAGAGGGACAATATATATAAAGTTATATAAACTGATATCGTGAGCCGTTGGGAGCGGATTACATCGGATATAACTTCATTTTCATGGTCTCCATACAAGCAATCCAATTGGGTGAAAGAGAACAGAAAACCCCTCAACAGAGAGATTTATATAAGCTTTGGAAGTCGTTGAGTTCACCAGCTGATGATCATCATCTCCTGAACTTCGCTCCATATGGATTGCTTAGTTCTTCCGGTGGCGTTATGGCGACGATGGTCGTTCTCGTCGTCAAGACTTGGGTACCGGACTTTGTCGAATGAAGACGGTGAGAATTCAAGGACGAATCTGGTGACTGTGGTTGCTGGGAAGGAGAAGAAGGAGTTCTTGGTGGACCCATTTGTGTTAGAGGAAGACCCATTTCGGTTATTGTTCGAAACGACGAGGAAGGAGAGGAAGAAGAGGAAATTCGACGCGAATGAAGAGAAACGGGTGATTTTCGTCGATGTGGATGCGATTTTGTTCGAACACATGCTGTGGTTGTTGTACAATGATTGTTCTTCTCTTTTTCAGCTCAATCTTAAAGAGATTATAGACTTCTATAGTCAAGATACTTAGACAGATTTAGCTGCAAAATTAAAAGAAGAGGTATCTTTTCTTCTGTTCTTTTTTTCTTTTCTATAAATACATAAGTCCTTTTGATTAAGGACCCATTTATCTTTCTCCTTCCAGAGATTGCAAGAATATAGTATGTTTATCAATAATGCTAACTAGTTCTTCCCACTTTTCTTTTTCTTTCATTTTTTTTATCTATATACTAATTTAGGACTAATTAAGAGTACTCTTTCTTTGATCTTTGATCTTTGTTTCCATAAAAATCTCTCTCTCTCTCTTCTTGGGTGGGTGGATGGAGGATTCGTTCTTTCAATAAATGAAAATTGATGTATCATATTACAGGTGTTAGGTGCATGCAAGTGTGAATACAATTTGGACACCCATTACCCATGATGAATTGGCAGTTTAATTAAAATAGAGCTGTGAGTGAGTCAATGAGTTAGGTAGGGTAGTTTTAATTCTGGCTCGGGTTAATTAGGCATAAACCTAATTAATTCTGGGTCTTACCATGCCTAACCCGAGCCATGCACCCAGTTGGAAAATAGTGGTGAACTTAACCCGATCCTTTCTAAAAACCGGGCATGGTCGAGCCCATGCTATCCTTTCTAAAAGCCAGGAGCTAGCTGAAGTAATTAATAAAGAAATTCAAGAAGATTGCCCCCACTTCCTGAACCTGGTTAACTGGTTGTTCTCGTTCCAAAAAGAAAGAGACTCCTTTTATTCCATGATCAGAATTAATTTACTGATAAAGTAAGATTGGTGCTAAAGTGGTTAAGGGAGGCTCCTACAAGGAATTCCAATTTGACTGTCTACCGCTTGGCATTTCTTTTGGTGGGCCTAGAATTCCATTATTGGAGGTAAAGAAGGCATATTCATTCTCAGGGTCTCTTTTTCCCAATTGAAATTGAATTCTCTATTAATTATTACTCCTTCTAGCGTGTATAATTAAGGATGCTTGTTTCAGTCTGAAGAATGGAGATGCCTGCCTTGTTATAGCCATATATAGTAATTGAATTGACATAGTGTGTTCTCTAAGTCGGTAAGTAGTTGTTGGTTTTAATTTTGCTTGTGGTACCCGGAGTTTTGATTCCTACATATTTTGCTTCAAGGTCAATTAAAACCTATAGATGGTATAGGGATTTTCTATATACAATTGTTATGTGAAGAAGAATTCCCTACAAGTTTATTAATTATTTAGCAAGGCAAGTAAAGGAATACTTTGGTTGCGTAGTTATACACTCATCATACCCAATCCCATATGTATTTAATACTTAATGATAAAGTATATGTTTGGTTCATTAAACGTTTATTGATAGCAAGGCGAGTGTTTTTATTAGCTTTCTATTGCCAAATGGAAAGACTGATAATTGGTTTTCCAAGCTTGCCAACGCTTAGAAGACTGTGCAGAAAGACCAAAAACTTCAGTAATTTCAATCTTTTTAATCCCTTTTGGAGGTTGCATTTTTTTTCTCATCTTCTTGGCTTTTTAATACTACTAAGGGGGTGTTTTTTTTTTCAAATTTTGAGGAGGAAATATCCCATGTTCTTTTTTCAAATTTATGTGGGGTCAGGGAAAAAGTTTATTTTCTTGAGTATCACTTACCCATCTCCTAGGTGGATAAATAACTTTCCCATCTAAGGGGAAATTTGCCAACACTTGAATGAGACAAAAATACTCCTTTTAATAATGGATTTTTATGGCTAAAACGGTTATTGCCTTGTTTATATGAGAAATAAAAGAACATGGATAAATGCACTTACCTAGGTGAGTGTTTCTCAACAAAAAAGTGAACATGGCCTAAATGGAAAAAGACCAAAAAATTGGACTTATCTTGTTGAAGCTCAAAAGATTGTGCCGAAATACATGCTAAATGCCTATATAGTAAATAATAAAATGGTTTTTGAGACAAAATTTAATTTGTGCCATTTAGTATGTTGGGATTGTGTCTTATTTTGCAACCACTGGATTAGTTTTAATCTAATGGTTGGTGTGGTCTCTCTTTAGGTTAAAAAGGTTTTACATATAGAACTTTCTTTTGTATGTAGGGTTAAGGTTTTTTTTTATTTTTTTTTGAGAAGGTGTGAGAGAAAAATATAAAGTGTTTTTGGTGTGAGAGTGGGTTTTTCTTTTGTTTTTGTTCTTCGGGTTGAGTGGAAAGGGAGAACGGGTGTACAAGGGTTAAGGGTTGGTTTGGGCTGCAAGTCACAAAGTACTTGTATTGTTTCTCAATTTTCTTTCATAGCAAAGAATATGTTTCATCTCTTTTGTGGACGTAGGTAGTAGGGGTGGCCACAAGCCGAGCTTCAAACTGAGCTCAAGCTTGATATATAGGCTCGTTTGCTAATCAAGTCGAGCTCGAGCCTAGTGAAGCTCGACTCGTGAGGCTCGTGAGCCTAATAAAATAAATAAATAATTTTTTGTTATATGCATGCATACATACATACGTACATACGTACGTACACATATAAATATATATATTAAATAATTTTATAAAATTTTTATTTTTTATGTATAATGGTAAATATTTTTTATAATTCTTATTTTTTTATCTAAAATAAAAGCATTATTTATATGTATATTTTTTATTTTTATATGTATAATAATAAATTATTTTTATAACTCTTAATTTTTTGTATGTAAAATAAAAAATATTTTTATATCTATACTTTTTATTTTTTTAGAAAAAAATTGGCTTGTAGTCGAGCTCGAACTTGCCAAGCTCGAACTCAAATCTCTAGCACGAATCGAGCTCAAATCTCTAGCACGAATCGAGCTTGAGCTTGATTCCAACACAGTTTCAACGACTTGAGCTTGAATAAAATAAAGTATTCAGCTCAACTTGGCTTGAATCCACCTCTACCTGTCAGGCAGAACCACGTAATTTTTTGTGTTCTTTGTGGCGCTTGGTTTTACTTGGATTTCATCATTTTTACTGCTATTAGATTTCTTGTGGTTGCTGTTTCAAATACCTTATTATTTTATCCTAAGGGTGGTTGTTGTTAGGGGTGAGTGTTCGGTTAAAAATTAAACCAAATAAATCAAATTTTTAAAAACCGAACTTTATAAAATATAAAACCGAACCAAAATCGAAACTGAATTTTTTGGTTCAGTTTTCAGTTATTTCGGTTAAAAGTGAATTTTATTAATATTATACTAATACATATTATATATTATATATTATATATTATATATTAATATTAATATGTATATGTTAATGTACGTAATATATATTATTATTATATACATATTATAATATATTATGTTTTATATATTAAGAATATATATTATATTATGTATATAATAAATTTTTGTTAATTCGGTTAACCAAACTTCTAATCCTGAAAATTGAAATCGAAACCAAAAATTTTTAAAACCGAATTAATTGAATAAAAAAACTAAAAACCAAAAAAACCGAACTAAACAAACCAAAACTGAAACATTCGTTTCGGTTTTAACCGAACAATGCTCACCCCAACTTGTTGTGAGGCCCCCAACAAGATAAAAGGTTGAAATAAGAGCTGAATGCTGAAAATAATCAATTTAGAAATAGGGTTCTCACTTTTCAGCATTAAGTGACTCCTTGTTGAATGTTGAAAGATTTCAATAGTGTCTTATTATTTTTATATTCCATTTTTTTGGTAAGAAAGTTTTATGTACCATACGTATCATTGCTTTTAAGCAGACAATTTTTTTTCAGCATTATAATTTTTAATAAGAATTATGACAATAAACAACGTGAATGAAATTAGACGTTAAAAAAATTAAAAAAAATGCCCAGCTTTTCTGGATACTTTGTGCCATAAACATGGTAGGACCCATTAAAATACATCCTTCAACACTCATTTTTTTGAGTTCAAATCAGCCCCTCACAAGATTGCCCCCCACAATGTCCCATAACACATTTTTGCCGTGTATTGAAAACATCTCCCGATGATGATATCATCACTTTTGGTATTATCATCAGGAGATGCTCCTAATATACGACAGAGATGTGTTGTGGGATGTTGTGGGGGCTGATTTGATGTCCATTTTTTTAAAGAAAAAGTAGGTGTATAAAATGCACCAATGAGAAAGCCATGAAAAAAAGAAAACAAATCTCAGAAAGAATTTTGCATAGTCAATCCCATATAATAATATAAGAAGAAAAAAACATTTACATCATCGCTCTCGAGAATAGAAAAATAAAGCATAAAAAAACTGTGAAAAAATAAAGAAAATGAAAACAAAACCCAAAAAAGAAATTTGCAAATCCATCCGATACACATATAAGAATATAAAAAAAGCATTTACATCATTGCCGCCACAGAACAGAAGAAAAAAGTATACAAAACCCGAAAAAAATGTGCCAGCCTCGGGCCCAAGTTGGGCTCTTTCATTACCTCACAATGGATCAAACCGGGCCGACAATCAAGTGTGTGATCCATCACAGTTTCGTCTGTTGGACCGTAAATGAACCACCTTTTAGGCAAAGCAACGTGCACTACATTGGGTCCATAAAATAGGACCTTGGCATCAAACAACAGTCGATTGTTCAATCCAGCCCACATCGGCCCAGAGTATACTGACTGCTCCTCACACAGGGTGCCTTACACTGACCTCAAAGGCACATTCCACCATGCATTGAGAACATTTCGCATACTTGCATGTTATTATTGACGGGAGATATTCCCAATGCATGGTGAGATGTGCATATGAGGTCGGTGTGAGGAGCATATCCCAATTCATGCTAGTGTGGGATGGAGTTGGTAATAGGTCAAGTTCAGGCACAAAAAGTGGAGGCCGGATCTCCTGCCCATGAGAACCCTGCCCACATTTATCGCAGCCATACATGGAGAACATCTCATCCTCTGCAAAGTATTATGCAGGGGGAGATGTTCCCAATTCACGGGGGGTAATGTGTTGTGGGTAGACATGGGCAGGGTTCTCGTGGGCAGGAGATCTGGACTTTTTGTGGACTGCGTCATTACCTTTCAATGCTCGGTAGGGCTGCAAATGGTATTTGATTTCAAATTTGAATTCGATCCATTTACAATTGGATCAATCTGATTTGATTCGATATGTATGCTCATATATACTTGAAAAGTATATTATATCTATCATTGAAGTTGGACTTAGTGTTATATTTTCACTAAATTGTCATATATTCAAGTTTTATAAATATAATTTTTA